CACACACACACACACACACACACACACACACACACACACACAGAGTGTCGACGTGCACTCGTTATGTAAAAATATGAAACCTGTGTGCTGTCAATTGATACCTTACCAGTGACGCTGTCTAATGCAGATAAAGTCGAGAATCAGACACTGTGCACTGTACTTAACACACAGCCACATACACATTGAACAAATTTAGCCCAAGACAATTCTCGGTCCTATTCAAAAGTTCTTCTCTTCTTTGCTCTTTTCTGCTCTCAGAGAACACTGCTCTAACTCTAAGAGAACTGTGTCAACTGCTGATTATAGAAATTTGAGTCTAGATGGGGCGATGGGGGAAAAGAGGAAAGGGGGAAAAACAGGAAAGGGGAAAGGGGCTGAGGAGGAGGGTATATTGTTTTAGGCCCAGACTCTGACAGCCGAACGGGGCGCTTCCCTCTCCTAGTTAAAATTCCCTCTATAACATTACTGGGCGGAACGAAGGATCGCCGGTCCAGAGTCCTGGCCAAGTAAGGTAACTACGGGAAATAGGTGACGAAGAAAACATCAAACAGAACAATGAACGGCTTAAAACTCAATAGAAATAATTATGCTAACTACAGAAGTACAAGCAGTAATAAGAGACAGGTTGAATGATGAATGTAACTGATGAAATTATGTAAAATAATATGTATTAGTACTGCAGACGTGTCCTTCCTTTGTAAGTAACAAAGAAGCCAATTGGCAATTAGAAGCCGTCCTTTTAGCTCTGTGGGCAAAAGCTGAATTCTCCCGGAGGCTGACGTCATCGCCGCGCGGGCGCTTTTCGAAAAGGCCTCGCGCAGATAAGTTTCACATTGTGACAGGAGCGATTTACATACGAGCCGGCGTGATAAAAACAAAGATGAAGGAACGAGTCTCTGTAGTGCGACAGCTCACCAAAGAACCACTATTGTCTCTCAGAGCGCCTTAAATCGACCGAGTGTTTTTTTAACGTTGATTAGATATTAATGTCTATTTAATCTACATGTACTTGAAACTAAATAAAAATTATCGTTAGCAATCAATCTCTAGTCCACTGTACAGCCGACAAAAAGTGACCGGCGCCGCCGGTCTTGCTGAGTGAAACAACCGCGCCTGACTGTAGATAAACACATAAATGCGTGGGTACATACATACTGAAGCATGCAGATGTACTTCAAAGACGCCATTGCTGGTCGCCACTTTGCAGGGTTTGTCTTTTTTTCTAAGGTAGGGTTATAGTGTTTTGCGCTAGATAGAACACACTCCAATGACCACCCACCTTAATGCCATGTCACTGACGTCTTCTTGACATTAATATTGTGAGCCTGTGCTCACTGACCACTCGGCCACTGAAGATCCATTACACGTTAAGAAACCGATTCTGAAAAGATGTGATTAGTATTAGAGGAAACCCCGCTTAAGAAACATATATAATATAAAATATGCCATGAGATAATAATAATTATAATAATAACAACAACAACAATA